AAGCAAAATTTTGCGGCCGGAGCTGGTCGTAACCCGAAAAGTTCGTTAACAGAAGCGTTCGCAACCCGAGGTTCCACTGTAAATAAATTTCTATATATAAATAAATTTCTATATATTTCTATGTAAATATATATTTCTATATATTTCTGTATAGTCTTGGGCTTTTGTATAGTTTTAGCATTAGCACATAGGAAACTTCAGGTCTCTAATTAGGGCTTGACAAATAAGTCATCATATTATTTTACAGGGTATTTGAAGGGTATAGCTGCCATCTTGATTTTTTTGACACCCCCACCCCCCATATACCAGGCCCTTTTGTATGTGTCAGAGGATTGCCTGTCATCATCCAGCAATCAGGAAACTGATGTGACTAAGAAGATAACCAATGAAATCTTTCTCTACGTGCTTTTTGGTTTCACTCCATGTGTTCTTCAAAGTCATGCAGCTTCAAACCACATAAAGGCAATACCTGGCAGCTCCAATTCCAGATGTTTACAGCATACAAGAGACTGGAGAGCTGCTGCTGGCTGAATCAGTCTCAATTCCACACTGACATGAGGCAGCTTTACCTCATAAGCAAGCTCAGAAACACCCAGAAAATTAAAAAAAAATCTGAGCAGTCAAGTCATCACCCTGCTCCATTTGTTTGTTACATAGCACTTGGGTTTGTAGCTGAGGATAAATCTGATAGGATTCAGGTTTCTGCATTTTTCCCAATGCCATTCTTAGCACAGTTAGAAAATTATCAATATCAGGGAGCTTGCTTTTATCAGAACTTACACCATCCCAGGGATCAGGCTAAATATTCAAAGTTATATAACTGAAACCTGCCTAACTCCACAGGATGAGAATATGGGAAAAGTACATCGCTAAGGACTGCTGTTACAATGGTCTTCTAATCATAATGGATGTGAAATCTAGTGGTAACTTAATAGTTGGTGCAGATTCTGGGCCCAGAAGGAAGAAAGAGAAAAGGACTGTTTTTTTTTTTAATTATTATTTTAGTTGAAATATTTGTACAGTGCTTTAGCCCATCATCTGTATCAAACATATACAGTAACCGTACAGTATGCTCTTTTTTGTCAGAGCATTCTTGCCCTGATATTCTGGATTCCCTACCCAGCTCTGCTTAGGAGCTGTGCTTGTATACCTTGCTTTACAAGCAGAAGATAAGTTTTTTTTTAAAGGCTATTACACATGATTGAAGGCAAGAAATAGCAAAGCCCAACACAAGCAATTGGCTGAGGTTGCTGGAGCTGAATGACTGAAAATTCTATGCAAATAATATGCAAAGTATGCAAATAAGCATGCCCATATACAGTACCTCCTTTTGGACATTGAGATTTGGTAAGTCTACAAAGGAAGACAACTCCAGCACATACTTCCAGCTATAGAATGTATGTGTCCATAGGCATCCAAGGGTACGTAAGGGGGCAAGTGATGACCCACATGGTATGTGTGCTGTCATTAGGACATCATTGTGGCTTGTACTTGATATCTAGGGGTGTTTGTTAGTATAATGAGACTCTGTTGGTTGTCATTCATTGTGACATTTGAACATAGCTGTTGTTACCATTCTATTCATAAAAATAATAGTTACCAGTTACCTTATATATCATATTTATTTACCATCAGTGATAAATAAAGACATTATTTATTTATGTACATTGTTTTATTGTATTTTAATCTGTATTTATTGTGGTTTTATTGCGAACTGCCCAGAGTCACTCTTTGAGTGAGATGGGCGGTGACTAAATTTGAAATATAAATAAATAAAATATTTCTCTTTAAAGAAACAGAAAAGGAGAAATCATTGTTTATCCACAGCCTCCCATTTCCCATCTACTGCTTAATTTTTTTTTCAATTATTAATAAATAACAGAATTGTATTACCACTCATCTCTTTGAATCAACTTTCTCCTTGAATTTGCAAAAAAGTATGACCAGTATGTAATGCTTCTATAGATTATACTAAGGATGAAATGGCTTGCAAACAGTTCTGGCTGTGTTAGAGTAACTGCTGATGAAGAACACTGAAACCCATTCAACTTTTAAATTTTTCATTATTTGTCTTTTAAAAGGCATGTTATGGAACAATAGTGCCAATACTGTGATTATGATTGTTTGAATTAATAATGATAAATTCTCTGATATTTATTATAATCATTTTTATTTACTTGCCTGTTTGTTTATGAGTTTGATGGCTGGAGATTTTAACCCCTTCTGATATTGTGGAGTTCATTCAAACATCAGCTAGAGAGAAATTATGCAAGGTACCATAAAGAGAATATAACAAAGACTCTGCAAGCTAACCCATAGGGAGAAAAGAATTAGTTCTGATTTGGAATGTAAGAAATGACCTGCAACCTCTCTTTGTGATCCTAGCAGACAACGAGAAGACAGCGAGCGATCAATCTTTGTGCGGTTAAAAGAGGGAGGCTACAGGCTAAAAGAGAACATTCTGTTCCATTTGTACGTGAGCACATCACCTTGTGGAGATGCACGCCTCAATTCCCCCTATGAAATCACAACTGACTGTAAGAACTGTACTTCTCAAGTTTTGTTTCTCTGTATTTCTATCTTTATAAATATCTGGATAGCCATTTTTGTCTTCTGTTGACGTTTTTGTTCTGTAAGCAAGCAACTTTTATGAAAATAATGCAACTTGACTTCTCTCAGTGGACTGGGATAGACGTAGACCTGACTCACCCCTCATTAAGCTATGATTTGTTTAACCCAACGTTATAGAATAAACTGTAATAGGTTGGCTTCACACATTGCCCAAAGCCATTAGCTGGCTTTCCCTTGGCACATTAAGTGAAAGTCAAACAAGCCACACTCTGTTTTAGCACAGTGTATGAACTTAAAATACTAGTTAAGAAACTGGGAAGCAGACTCTAGAAAAGAAAATCTGTCTTGCCACATTCACCTTCAAGCATAGTTCCTCAGAATTGGGATGAACTACAGGTATGTTTGACCAAGTATGTCCTTAATTCAGATCTGAAAGTACGATTTAAAATAGGTTTCAGATCTTGTGTTTAAAGCATCTCTGTTAATATTATCCAAAATTGATACTAGTGTTGATAAATGACTTGGCCAGAGCTAAGATGGGGTGCTAGATGCAAAGTAAATGTTTAGGTAGAAATCCTATGCAAGATAACTCGATGGTGAAACATTCTCTTGTTGAATTAAAACAAGTGGAAAATCCCTAAAAACGTATCAAGAAGGAGGGTATTCCAGAGTTTTGCTGCTGGTACAGCAAAGACCCTGTTTCTTATGGTTAGTGAAGCTCATGCAAATTCATATGGGAGACCACAATTTTTGTAGCTATCTGGATCTATATCCTTAAAGGTTTTAAAGGGAGTGTTCTGGGCCCAGTAGGATGTATTTCACATCCTTGCCCTTGCCCCAGAGTGAAACCAATTTTCTTTCCTCTAACTAATTTTTCTGCTCACTCCACTGAGTGAAGCCAGCTTTACCTTGCAAATTTCATTAACAGCATTTAAAACTTACATTTGCATCTTTTCCTTTGGCAAACCATTTTCTTTATAATATACTTTCATGAAAACATGCTTTATATTCATGAGTCCTCTAAATTGTCCATGGCTAGTTAATGGAAGCTTGCTTTCCTAGGTCAGAACAGTTCCTTCTTTTTGTAAAGTGGTGATTTAAAGGCATTATCCAATCAATTAAGATACAGTTAATGTACTACCTCAGTATTTCAATGGCACATTTTAAATCCCTCCAGATAATCAAGGGTCCTCCCTAGATTTTCAATCATGAGGTCAGATCTAAAGATGATATTCTTTCAAGAAACTAGGGCACGATTTCGGAGGTTCATTTCTTTTGAGAATTTACATAATGGATCTGAGAAAGTATTGTCGAAGTCTTTCACGGCCGGCATACGATGACTGGTGTGGGTCTTCCGGGCTGTGTGGCCGTGTTCTGG